CACAACAGTGAATGAAATAAACCACCGTAGAAAAATGGTCAGCTGCTACCAGAATGGCATCTCAGGCCTTAGTACATGGAATATCAGTAATAAAGTCCAAGGAAACTGTGTCTGAAAGTTCCCTTGGGGAGTAGGGAAATTAGTAGTCTAGCTGGCTTGGTGATGAGAGGTTTGGTATGGTGACTAAATAGGCCTTGATATCCATCCTAATGCATGGCTGTCAAAAATCATGGTAGAAGGAAATGGTGGTTTTAAATAGTCCAAAATGTCCTGGTGGACAGATGCCACAACAGAGCTGTAAGACCTCTTCACTCACAGTGTTCTCTAAATCAAGCAATAACCAGCTCCAATAATAGCTTGGCATATTATGTGAGGTCACGTGATTATATTTGGCACATAATTTTTCTTGGTCTTTACAATAACACATCTCAAAATTAATCATTTGAATTATTGTATGTACCCCATGCCATAATTACAATTCTTACCATAAACCTGCTGGTTAAGAATGTTGTTCAGTAGAAACCACTGGGTGCTAAGTGAATAGTGGCAAGTGGAAATCTCATTTTTAGATACAGAATTTTGTGTGTGTGTGCATGAACATGCACATGTATGTACACAAATACTCTCATAACTGCCTATGTAAACCACATGAATAAAATGTGGCATAGGAAAACAGTTGTGCTACAGAACAGGAGAAAAGAACAAAGATTTTGGAGAACAAGATGGCTATGATTGGAATAATAAGCAACGAGAAAAAATATAGTATTTTTAAAGAAATAAATTATAGGAGGGGTTGGCAGCTTTACTTATTCCCATTATTTTGTGCATCTAGTTAATATACAGATAAAATGAAGAAAACTAGGGCTACCAGATTTGAACTAGGTAGCAGCAAGTTTAAGTATACTGCATATCTTTCCTACCATCTAGTGGTTGTATGGACTTTTGCAGCTTGGAAAGAAAATTTCCTTAAGGAAATTAAATTTCAAAAGTTAATTAAAAATATAATTATTTCTCAGAGTCCCATGTAGAATACACCTTGTCTGGGGCAAAATTGAAAAATTTAGGTATTCAAGAAGGATTCTATAGTTTTTTGGCCATGTCATTAATGATCATTGAGCAGATCTGCACTTGTTAAATTGGATGAGATATTAATCCCTTATAAGCAGAGTCTTAAACTAAGACTTTAATTTCAAGTTTAGGTCTGGTGGGAAAATTTCTAGCAGCATCTGTAACAAACTGAGATGATATCAGAACGATGACTCATGAATGATATTGGTGTTTAAGTCTTTTTCCCTACAGACACTTTATGTAATGTGACAGCATCTAAATTGGCTTGTATCTAATTGTCCATTAACTTAAAGTAAGGGGTCTTTGTAAGCTTGTTCTCTTTAAAGTAGAAATTGTCCCTCTTTGTCATGTTAAATTTTAGTCTTTTGTTCATACTAGGATAGTGGTACCACTTTATTCCTTTTAAATGTGGATTTGATTACAGTTAAAAGTTGAGATATTGGAATGATGAGTTTTACATTTGTTAATTAATGTCATTATTTTAGGGCTCTGTTTGGACTTTTTGCTGACACCTGGATTGGAGCAGACGTTACTTATTGGATTTACCTATAGTTAAGAGTTGAGTTATGGGATGAAGAGTTTTATATCTGCTAATTAAGAAGAGGTGAAGAGATAGTGAAATTATTTATATTTGTGATAAGAGTGGGAAGTTGCTTTTTTAGGTTTTTTTTTTCCTTTTTCTATTTTTCTTCTTTGTTTTCTTGCATCTTTTATTCTCTCTTTCTTTTCTTTTTTAGTTTGTATTATCTTTTACTATTGTAATTAAAACTTTTAATAAAATTATTTTTAAAAAAATATGTAAACATGCTAATTATGTATTGGCATCACAACTTGTGAGTCATGGTAATTGTGTGATCATCACACACATGACATTTGTCCCTTGTGAACACCCATTATAAGATCAAATCAATTAAATGTGTGTTACTATAAAGGCATCTGCTGGAAGGATCTTAGAAAAAAAAGAACATGAAGCAGACAAATCTCACTGAGGTAAAAAAATCATTTTTACTTTATGCTTAGAGCATATTGTTTTCTGTATAAATTAGATAAACTGAATTGGGTCATCTGATCTTGATGGAAATGATGAAAATGACATAATTTCTGTGATCTGCTTTTCTTAGTATATAGTATATTAAGTATACTGTATATTTAGTATATAGGTAGTCCTTGTTTAATGGCCACTTGTTCAGTGACCATTTGAAGTTATGACAGCGCTGAATAAGTGGTATTTACAACCAGGCCTTGAAGTTCTGGTGTCCCAGCACCCCCACGGTCACGTGATGGCGATCTGGATGCTTGGCAACCAATTCACCCTTACAATGGTCGCAGTGTCCCGTGGTCACATGATTGCCATTTGCAACCGTCCCAGCTTGACCACAAGCAACATCAATGGGGAAGCTAGCAGGGAAGGTTGCAAGTTGCTCTGGTAAGTCACTTGCACCCTCCCCCGCCCAGCAACAGCCTGTTGGCCTGCTTGCAAGCTGCCTGGGACTTGCTTAATGACCCATGATCCTCACTTAATGATGGCAACAGGGAGTGCCAGGATTGCTGTCACTAAGCGATGGGGTCATGTGATATTACACTTTACAGCTGCATTGCTTGGCAATGGAAATTCTGGTCCTAATTACTGTCGTTAACTGAGGACTACCTGTAATGCGTTTGTAATTAACCCAAAAGAAATGGTAGTACTGAAAGGAAAAGAAACAAACCATTATCAAATAGCTGCGTTGCTTTACACTGTTATTTTTAAAACCTTTGTTGTAGAGAAAGCTTGGCATAAGAATTCATTACAGAATTTATGAAAGTATTGGGAAGAGGAAACTAGGTACATTTTGGGTGTGAATATTAGACATTATCTTACTAAAAGTATTGTGTAGATTATGGTAGGGCAAAACCAGTTCACATGCAACTTTGTAGGCTGTGGAGATGGTTGAAGCCCTGTATGTGTCCTGCTTAATAACAGTATCCACTGTGAGAGAGGCAACAAATGCCCTGTCAGGTATATAGTATGAGGAAAAGGAGATACTTTACCATCTAGCTATTTGCCTATCTCTTCACCCACCTGCTGTTTTGGGGATACAATTCTCTTTGGAAGACTAGGACTGCCTGAATATCTGCTCCAGCTGAAGCCACTCTGCAAGAGGCTTCATCAGCTCCTGGAGAAATGCTGCCCTGAGATGTCAGAGTCATTGCTATAGAGACAACTTCAAGGGGGAGAAATGCCCCTTTGGAAAGTTTTAAAGTGGCCCTTATAGAGCCATGCTGTTATTCTATAAGGGAGAAAAACCTGGGCTTTAATCTGCTGCTTTTATTGCTGCATGTTCTTATTAGATGTGCCAGGGAGGTGGGAATGGAGGGAGTAAATATTAAGATACCAACTGACACATAGTGAGAAGCTGCAACCATTTTCCCACATTCCTGGGCCCTGCAGGAAAAGAAGAGCAGGTATCTGGTTAGTTTTCCTTGCTCCCTCCCTTCCTTCAACCAGATAAGTCAAAGTGACAAAGAAGATGAGTGCTCCAACCTGAAAGTTCTTTTTATTGCTATCAGTTGCTAGTAAGACCATTATTCAGGATTTAATCTTGGATGAAAGTGCTGACCTGGTATGTATCATGAAAACTTGGTTGAGAAAACATGGGGAGTTTGTATCTTCAGGCACTGACTGCTAGGCTACTTTGTAATCTAACAGGCTAGGCTTGGAAGCTGGGGAGGTGGCATAGCCATCATCTATAGGAATTTCATCTTAGTGACCAGAAGGTCCATCTGAAAATGTGTCCATTTTAAGTGTTTGTTGCTTAGTTTAGATTGCTGGGGCAGTGTAGGGATAGTGTTAGTGTACAATCCCTTCTGCTGCACAACTATCTCCCTTGTGGAATTATATAGGGTGATTTTTAGTATAGCAGTGCAATTCGTTAAGACTTCTTATTCTGGGAGATTTCAGTACCCATGTAGAGGTTGCTCAGATAGGTGTGGCTCAGGACTTCCGTGTATGGCACAATACTCATGAATCTGCCCCAGTTTGCATCTGGTCCTGTGTATGTAGCAGAGCAGATGCTGGTTTTGGTATTCTGTATAGCTAGAGCTGGTGTTTGCAGGATGCAGGATCCCTCTCTAACTCTGTTGTGTTAAACAGATCCCTATTTGGTCAGTTTTAGATGGGTGTGTGTGTGTGCTACAAACTTCTGCAGGGGTAGAGGGGGGTAAAAGATTTGACCCAGACACCTGATCAACCATGATGATTTCTTGAATGTATTTGAGGGATTTCTGCTATTAATACTCTTGAAGTCCTGGCCATCTTTGGAACACCAAAATGAACCAGACAATTGACATTATTGTTCCTAAGTGCGATCCTCCCTGTAGTAGAGATAAATCAGCAATTAGTTTACTAAGGAGCTTTTTGTTGCTGCTCCTTTATTATAACCTCAAGGTTTTTACTGAGAAGTATATTTTACACTAAAATGAAATTATCTGGACCTTGAACCTTTTAAAAAGTGTAACTTTTTTGTCAGTATAGTTAGATTGTTTGCATCTTGATTTCTTTACATCTGCAGTCACTTTAGTAGCATATTGGAAAATATTTGGGGGGGGGGTTGACCTATTTTACCATTGTGGTTTATTTCATTTCTGAATATTTACAATTTATATTTTTTAGCTTTGTAAAAGCTTCATATAATAGTTTAATTAGTGATGCTATAATAAGCATAATCTTCCTGTAACCACACGTGCTGGTCACAGTTAACTCTGATGCATTCAAATATCCTAATGGAGGCTGCTACAATTCTTCAGGCAAGAGTTAGCATATGTGTGTGTGAGAGAGACAATCATACCTTACAACTAATTTAAAATATGTGGGTGGTTTGTGTCATGGAGTGACTGTGAAAGACATAGGGCACTTTTTATTGGACCAGTAACATTGGTTTACATCCCTTCAGGAGGCTTTTGATGATAGCCGAAATTAGAGAAGCAGCAGAACTCCCAGAACATGACATCAGCCACTGATTTTGATCACTTGGAGATTCAGCCGCAGTACAGTCGAATCAATGCTCGATGGGAAGCCTCTGATGATGAGTTGGACAATGACAACAGTTCTGCCAGGCTTTTTGAGAGATCCCGGATCAAAGCTCTAGCAGGTAAAAATGTCTTGCATTTGAAAACAGAGAGATTTATTAAAAGTTTGATCCCAAACTTTCTCTCTTTTTGAGGCAAGAATACATGCAACTGTGAACCTTCCTTTTTCCCTTCCCTTCTGTCAGGTTCAGCCCAAGAAACTCCATGAGACAGTACTGGAACAGCTCGGTTACTTTATTAGCTTGCACCTGCTAGACAGAATCTCGCTAGACTAACTCTAACTCCCAAAGCCTGCAACTAAACACTACGAATTCCTTAGGGTGGTGCCAGTCTCATCCTTTTCACTTTCCCAGACTCACGCTGTGGGCTGAGGAAATGCTTCTGTCCTTGAACCTTCTCATCCAAGTCCTCCATCACACCTTCCCTGCTTTTCCTTTGTTTCTCTAAAAGCAGTCTGAGAGCTCCATTGTCATAGAATAAGGTCATACAATGTGTGGCTTCTAAGCCTAACAAAATCCAACTGCCTTCTGTTGCAGCCTACTAGCTACTGAAATACCCTTCCCCTGTTTTTATACTTGCAGATAGCCAGAAAAAAATTAGAGGTTTTTCAAAACCTTGATGTCTACTCTATATGCCTGATAATCAGCATTTGGCTTACTGAGTAATATTGGATGGATCTATCTTGAGGCCTCACTGTCTTATTTTGTGGGGGGGAGGTCACTGGATCTTTAATTATTGAAAATCACAGGACAGTGGTATAACATCACAGTATTTACAGTTTAGTACTCTAAGGCTACATGCCCTCCGTTCTAGACATTTGTCAGTCTCCCTATCATCCCTGCTTGTTGCTGCAATTACATTTTTTTCTTCAGAGAGAGCTTGAAAGAGAGACTTTGCATGTAGATACATAAAGTGCCAGCCAGACATTATTGGGGCAATGCTGGTGGAAGTCAGATACCATGTCAGTCAATCAGTGCAAATCAAGATGGCAAACGAAGACAGCAGTCAGTGACTAGACAAGAGAGTGGGTATATGTCACAACCAAATATGGCCATGGGAGCTGGACATATCGCAGCCCCTGATGGTGTCATCACCTTTGTCACCACTGAAGTGCCAGAAATCATGCGTATGGTAAGGCTTGTATCAAGAGAAGATAGAAGTCTCCACTTTAATATCAGATCAGCTAAATGCAAAGTTAGGCAAATTCAGTGAATGGCAAGGGATGAGACAAAGACAGTATCAGGAGGAATTGACCTTAAAGAACAACTAGCAAGGCATCTTCAAGTCTCTTTTAGGGGGAAATGTGATGTACTGATTTCAAATTTAGGATTCTTGAGTACTCTAGCCCTACGAAGTGGCTGAGAAGCTTTAATCAATTATTCTCAGCAGCTTTACCCTCTGTCTTGGTTTGGTGACAATCAATATAATTAAAATAGTGTAACTAATCATAAAGCAATGGAACAGCAACTTAATTAGAATTTAAAACTTTAAAATCTGCTCAGCCATATCTTATTTAGTGGAGACAGATGGAGAAGGGTTATTGAGGATGATCTAAATTCCTAATTAGATACATATGGAAGGAAGTGATCCTTCGTGCTATAACCTGGTCTCAGCCTGTTAAAGGTCAAAAACAGGATTTAAAATGGATTTAAACTGAAAGCCAATGCAGATAATGAAACACTTGCGTGTAGATTTAAATTGCCCAGTTCCAGTTTAAAATCTAGCAGCCGTACTCTAGATTAAAGTTCTATTTATACAACATGCTTAAGGTGGTCAAATAAATATCTAGCAGATACATTCATGACATTTTAAGATTGATAATGTTAATCTACACTAGTTTGTGTTTTTTTTAGTTTGTTGTGGAAATATAACACAATTAGTTTATTATTTAGTGCATTGAATGAACATAGAAATTGGTTAATGCAGTAACTTGGTTTGATTCAAACACAGCCTAAATTAACCTTCTGGATTGGTTTTAAAGGAAGCCTGACATACAGCAACATAGCAGTAACCCTAATCTGATAAAAGATCCTCCAAACTGCAGAAGCTTTTTGAGTTTTTAAAAACAAGATAGATGAGTGCTTATCCCCAAACTGAATGTAACCCTGAATTAGATTAAAAAAGGAAATAGAATTGGATGGCATATTAGTGACATCTCAATCCAGTAGCTTTATTTACATAAACATTATGCAAATGTCAAATAGCATGTAGGCGAATGAATAAAGTAAGATCCTGTGGATCTCCAAAACATAAATGTCAGGAGGATGAGCCAGTACCACATTTGGTGCAGAAACATTGAAAAATAGTGTTTCTAACAATCTCCATCTAATCCAGCCTCTTCAGAGAGGTACAATATTTGATGACTTCGAAAATTGATTTTGAACATCACTTTTATCAAATGTATCACTTGAGTACTTTCTTTAAGAAGAGATGTTAGATCCTTATGTGTTTTTCTAGGTACAAGTTTCATCATGAGTAAGCAAATGAGCTTAATTAGACTTTTACTTTCTCTTAACCCAATTGGACACCCTTTTCTTGTCAGAAATAATGAGCTAAAAAGGGTGATTGTGTTTTGGGGAAGCAGTGATCATCATAAAATCATAAATTTGTAATGTAGGAAATGCCCAATGAAAGGATAACCCACTGTATCTTTAGCTAATTACTGAGAGGTCTGCTCTAACTTTAGTAATAAAGAAAATTCTACAATAAGCTTCTTTCACTCTACTGAAGGCTTGATTCTGCCATGTAATTCAAGTCAGGACTACAAAATCTGAAATAGTAACTGAAAAATGCTGAGGCTATGCTTTGAAAATATTGCTCATTCCTCAGTTCCCCTTTGTATTACAGCTCAGCAGTTTGACTAAATAGCTCTTTAAGCTTTGTGGAGCCTAGAGCTTATCAAAATAAAGAAGAAATTTACTAGCAGCAGTCTTTTCCTAGAATGACTTGGGAGACACCTTAGGACAAAGGAAAAGGGTTCTGAGAAGGTTAGAACATTCTGGAGAAAAACCAAAACTATAGTTAACTGTAAACATGCATCATATTTATAGGTATATTTATCAGGGAGGTGAAATTGGTTGCAGCTGTCTTGTTAAGAGGACACAATGTAATGAACCTATTTGCTATGACATACTGTATAAAATGACCCTAACAAAACCTGGATTCTTAAATATTGTTTGTTATGGCTGTATCCAAAACATTTGGCTCAGATTGCCTGTTCCAGAGCCTGTATGATCTTCTGTGACCATGAGGACAAACCTCATGGATAGTTTATTGAGTAAGAGACTGGAATTTCCTTTATCTCCTTTATTTCCTTTATCTAGTTCACAGCCAAGAGGATACCAGGGTTTTCTTATGCCACAGACCTATCACATTTCAGATTCAAACAGTGCTCTACTACTGTTAATTCATCTTTGTAACTATTGTTGCTATTTTGGTTACTTTGGAACATGACATGAGCATTTTATGAAGGGTTGATACTCAGACTGGCACATTGCAAGATGGTTCTCAGAAGCTGACTTTATTTTGACAGCTGCTTTCTCTTCAGACGGGAGAGCTAACAGGATTGCCTTAGTTTCTCTCTTCTTTATGTGTGTTTCCTTCTTCCATTCCTTACATGGGATATGATCTGAATATGGAGGACGCTAATATTTGTCCTTTGCTGTATTCGGATTACTTCCTCATCAAACTGCAAAGGATGCCCTGGATCTTTGCAAGGATGGTGGAACTATTAGAGTGGGCTATCTCACACACCTAATGGATCTAGAGAATTTCCAGAGGACACTTAGGGATTTCCCTGACATTTTGGCAGGCAGTTTTATTTCATTCCTATGGAACCAAGAAATAGCAAGAATGCTGGATGAGATTGTTCCAGTAAGGTCTCTTCCCAGTTACTGATCCTGAGCAGCTCCACAGGGGGGAAATTAGACTAAAAAGACACCTAAAGTGATGGTACAATAAAGCAGAAATAAATATGACCAAGCACTGGAAAGAACTCACATGTGAGGCTTCACACCATCACTATTTCCACTACACTAGAGTAAATAAAATTCTCTTATCTGACTCTTCTCTCCATACAAAAAAGGGAAAACTTAAAAATCCCAAGCAGCTTTGCATACTACTCATCCCCTACTGAAGAGAAGGGGAAAGCAGACACCACCCTAATTAGATCAAGTCAGCATTCTCCTTAAAGGATCTACTAGACTGTATGAAATTCAGGAGCTGGAAAGAATGGGGAGGAAAGAGGTCTTTCCAATGGAGAAATAGATCACCATAAATGTTATAGAATTTCATGTTGTAAAATGAAGATTATTCTTTTGCAGAGGGTGCAGGGATCTATGATTTGGATTAAACTGGTTCAGTGTCCACATGTGAAAATGCCTTCAATCTGCAAGCTGTTTAGTCTAAATAAAAGTAACTTGCCAGAGACTGTTCAATGATATCTGTGAGCATAAAAGCCCGCACAAAGTTGATGCACTAGATTTTTTTCTGGAGACAGTTGGTGTTGAATGTGGAAAAAAAAGGCAAGAAACCATTGCTCAGAATTCAGTTCTTTTGCATCCCAACCTCTGCACACATGAGGAATATTAGCACCTGTTCTGGCTACATCTCATTGCTCATTAGACACCCACAGGTACATGTAGGGGTCAGTAGCAGGGCAGTCAATATCACATCTGTCCAAGCCCCATAAGCTCTCTCTGTGTCTGTAGCACCAGAAGCTAAGAAGAAGGAGTTGTGTGGGAGTATTAAGTACAGACTTTAACAAAATTCTTTTATGCCTTTTTGATATCTTTTCTGATACAGCCCAAACAGTGGAGTCCTTGAGGTTCTCTGAGCTTGGCTATTTTCTTGCAAACATTTCATTACTCAGCTAGGTAACATCTTCGGTGGTAGAACGGAATGGACTTTGCTCTCTGTTTATATCCAGTGGTTTGCCCTGCCTGTGTTGGTGGGTTTTTTTGTTTTTGTTTTTTCTGGTAGTTCAGTTAATCTTTCTCTGAAGACCAAAACTGATTAGCATTTTTTAAAAAGTGTTAATATTTTTAAAATGCCAGTTTTTCCACCAGGTAGTGTACTGAAACAGAAATTTTACAGAATTCACACAATTCTTTAATCTTCATATGAATGAATATAGTGATTAAGATATTCTTTTTTTTCTAATTTCAGATGAGCGGGAAGCTGTGCAAAAGAAAACTTTTACAAAATGGGTGAACTCTCACCTGGCACGTGTAACCTGTCGCATTTCTGATCTTTATATGGACCTCCGAGATGGACGGATGCTAATCAAATTGCTGGAGGTGCTTTCTGGAGAGTTACTGGTAATGTTTTTCTTATTTCCCCACATCTTTAGAGCGTGTAAGGCAAGTCAACTATCATCCTAATACTGAAAGGAAAGCCATGGTGCATAAATTATCGTAAATGACTTTTTAATTATAATCCACAAGTACCTTGACTAGCATACTTTCGGATGTATAATCCCTTATCTGGATTGGACATATTTTATGTCTTTCCCTTCTTTTTAATATTGTACTGGTCTAATTGACTGTAACAAAGTTATTATACTGAAAGGAAATATTTGAAACATTATCACTGTCAAATATCTAGGAATCCTTGTCTGTCTGTCTGTTTGTCTATCTATCACATTTGTATAGCTGCTCATCTCCATGGTTTTCCTCAGTGTATGTCATAAGGCACTTCCACAGAAGGCTTTTTTTCAGACCAACTCCAGATCGATCTATGGGTTTCAAATTCAAGTTGATGTTTTCTGGCTCCACTGCAATCAGAGTAATGCTGGTGTGTTTCTTTCTGGTGCTGCAGCTCTTTAGATTTGAGATTTTCCCATTGATAAGAAATACTGACACTCACTGCCTTATGGCTCCTGAGCTCAATCAGCCAGTACCCTTTTGTAAACCTTCAGGTACTGTGGTGTCATGACACAAGACACAATATTATCTTTAAAATGCAAAATCCTGATAGTTTGTAGCTCCCCCTCAGCAACCACCTCATTTCACAAACAAAAATCTATGGATAGGAGAGGGAAAAACAAAATATATTTTTTTTCTTTTATATGGGTTGGGGCCAGGGGAGTTTTGTGGCTCCAGGATGGTAGTAGTTTAGGGCAGAGTACCTATCCATTTTTGCACTCTCTTACTGGTTAGCTCAAGGAGTGTTTGTTCTCAGTGCTTTAAGCTGTTTTGAGGCCAACAGATGTGAAAACAATATCATATCAGCTTCTCAGCAGCAGGGTGATTGCCTATAGATAACAAAATTGCTGTTTCAATGTAGAGAATATGCACGTCTTCATAGCATGTGACATAAGAAGCCATATCCAGTATCTGTAAAGTCATTCTAAGCCCCATGTGCCTAGTATACTTAACGGGGTCTTGAGCGGGTTGGGTTTAATGTATCATCCAAGTACTGTGCCTTGGCCAATAGACTTAGGTAAGTAAACCTGAGCAGGTTATGTTTAGCCCCAAAGAACCCTGAGGAGAGTTTCTTTCAGTCTGCTATATGGTGTGAACTTAGCCTCATGAAAGTTGTTTTTCAGTAGCCTTTATTTGCATTGTTCCTTATTCTCTTCTTCTAACACATAGCACATTTTGTTCTAACTATGTAAGCAAAGTGTGTTCTATCTTGGTTCTGAGAACAGAGTCCCATGAAACTGAGCTACATCTGGACCTCTAGTCACAGGATATCTTTAGTAGCCAAGGAGGTTAGTAGATAATCTTGCAAAGTATAGATTAAAGCTCTGTGCTCTCCTACTGGGTATTGGATTTATATAGAATTGGAAGGCTTATGTTTTCTTTTGCCAGCAAAGAACCTATTCTATACAATTGAGGAAGTCCTGCTATTATTGCAAGAATTAGAACAAAAGAGGGCAGATTCAACTTGTGTTGCCTCAATTCAGAGAATGGAGTAGATAAATGTCAATATGTTTAGCGTACTAATACAAAGCTCCTTCACTTCACTCCCCAGCCCAAGCCTACCAAAGGTCGCATGCGAATCCACTGTTTGGAGAATGTGGACAAAGCCCTGCAGTTCCTCAAGGAGCAGCGTGTGCATTTGGAAAACATGGGGTCTCACGACATTGTTGATGGTAACCATCGTCTGGTGCTGGGCCTCATCTGGACAATTATCCTGCGCTTCCAGGTGAGTCTTGCCAGAATCCACAGAGGAAAAAAAAAAAATCATTAGTAGGAAACTAGAGGCAAGTCTACAATATGGAATTTTCAGATCCACACACTTCCTTATCAGCTATCGAGAGTTAATTCCTCTTCCCAATCTCACCTAAGTTAGACTGATGAAGCTGGGCTTCATTGTCTATTAAAGTATATATACTAGTCCTGTGATTTTTTTTTTTTTATGCAACTGAAGAAGGCAACCTCCTTCACCCCCAGCAAAACCCTGAGAAAGGAGTAGGCAGCTCTTGCCACCCTAGGATGGAAAGATCTGCTGTAAGCAGGGGGGAGGGAAAAACAGAGAGCATACTCCTGAATTTTAAGCTCTCAATGCATAAAATACTGTATTTCTAGTAAAAGTGGCAGTCCCATTGCTGTTAAAAGCCCTCTTTATGGATTTTTCAAATCCTACAGAAGGTTTTGGTGCAACTCTCACTGGCAATTCTTTCAGGTATGACCCTATACACAGACATACATGTAAACACACATTGTTGTTTGATAAGAACTCCTGTCAAAGTGGCCATTGGGCCACAGACACCATTCAGTTACTCATGTCTATTCTGACGTTTGTGGAAATTGCTCTAAGACAAGAAACCCGTTTTACTAATCTGACTCATTGTGATATGAAAAGACAATGGCTTTCGAAGTCAGACAAGCATAGGAGGAGTAGCCTATGGGGGTAATAAATTAGGAATCTGGTAGCACTTTTTCTGCAAGAGGCTAGCATCTGGTCTCTTGGAACAGCTTTGTTCGTTATACCCAGTTTAAGGGTTCATCCTCACAGCTTCCTAACCATGATATGAACATGCCCCAGTAACTGTTTTTAGAAGACATCCACCTCCTTGAAATCATTGACTTCTCTCATCCCTCAGCCCAGAGCTGAGGGACCTTAAAGTTGTCTTTAGCTACTTTTAAAGTAGTGCTTTCACTCTTCTCCCAGTACAATTTTAGCCGATCTAGGACACTTTATTTGCAGTGTAATTGATGATACAGCTAATGGGCTGGATCTGCCAACTCCTGTTGTCCACTTGCAGCTGCAAACACACCTCCATCCCTTTGGTTGCTGGGTGCTGCCCTTGATGGCCATGCTTGGCATCTGCAGGGGCATTTGCCTGAGCAATGCTTGGCCAACATTTTCCCAAGCACTTCCTCAGTCACTCTTACTTGGGCTCCTTGTGTTCACAGGTTTAGCTGTCTTTTAAAAGAGAACTAAACTTATTTTTAAAAAACAGGACTAGCACTCTCTTGAGAGCTTGTTAGTTCTATGTTGCACAGGAGATCAATTGAAATAAGGAAAAAGTTCTTATTTCTGGCATCAGCGAATGCATTACAGGTTTTCTGCTGTTTCTGCCTACCAAAAAGGATTTTGCTGTACTCTTTACTGTTTTTGTTATTATGAAGAGAGAGGCTGTTTTGCCTATTGCTACACCATTATGCCTATTGAATAAGCTACTTCTGAGAGTAACTACTTTTCCTGCCAGCAGTGCCATTCTCTTTTGGCGCTATTTGAACACAGTGCTGTTTGTTATTGAAGGCTCTTCCTGTTTTACTCTGTGCCCCTCCTCCCCACCTGTTAACCTGGCTGACAAATCATATGGGGTGAAGCAGGAGGAGTGCCTCCAGTGCTCCTCACTGCTCCTCCATACCTGTATTGTTAAATCAGACAACTTGACATGCAGCTAAACCTGCATTCAAAGCACCAGTTAGTGGTGGTTTTTCTTGCTGACAGGTGACATTTGTTGGGAGGGGAAATGAAGCCAGAGGAATCTATCAGTCGCTTCCCTTAGCTTGAGGAGGAGTTAAATTAGCAAGGATTGGTGGATTAAACTTTACTACAACTATCTGTGCCTCAAGAATTTTTTTCTTACATATTCTTAATGATGCAAATAAAAAAGCAAAGGAAGTTTGCAATAAGAATACTGTAAGTCTTATGATTGTTTGCTCAGAAGAAAATCCCAGAGTTTAGTTGGACTCTTCAGGATTGCAACTTCAACTACTGGGAAAGTAAAATGATTGTGGGTTGATTTGCTTTCTTCTTGGTATCATGTCAATGGTTGCGTTCTTTTAAGTAGGCACACTAGGGGTTTAATGTAGTTATCTTTCAGGGTTTCTTATACTGCATTTTGCAATGTTTCTGTAACACTTGTTCATTGTATGTTGTAAATTAATATGAGAATTTACTTTATTGAGAAATTCCAAAAGAAAGAGTGACATAAAATTGCACATTCCTGAACAAACTTGTTTTCATCAGAATTACTGGACGGAATAAAAAAAAAAAGGAATCTGTAGTATATAAGAGTTTTAAAACAGCATGGAATAAATGTTGTAGAGACTGTTATATACAAAAAGAGTTCAGGTTTTATCCAAATCTACAAGGGTGAGGAACATGGCTGTTCTCCCACTGAAACTGTAAAAGCCAGGAATAATTTAGATCTTTTTCTAGCACTGATTAGAAGACTGAGATCCTTTGTAAAACAGAGAAACAAAAATTAAGAAAAAAAGGGATAATTCTATATATGAGCAACATTGCAAATTATTTTTATGTGGTGAAGTTATTATAAAATAATCTCTACCCAATTTGTCTTTTTCAGTGGTTGGAGGAGATGCTGATTTTTTGTTGGCAAAATTATTAGTTTAATTGAAAAATAGCTTACTGGATTTATGAAATAAATAAATAATACAGATAATCATATAGTTAATTTTGTCTATCACAGTAATCCTTTGAAAGATTCAGGACTTTACTTTGAAGTAGTTCCAACGAATTATAGTGGGCTTCTTCCAGATTGTACTGTTGAGGATGACAGCCATAAGTGACTTGTATTTTATTCAAAACAGATTATTTATTTACATCTCAAAATAGTTCAGTAGAAGAACAATCGTAATCATTTTACAGTGCACATTCAGCAATTTGGACAGGGTGTTTGGAAATGTTGTAATAATGTGAAGGGAAATTAAAAAAGTAATTTTTACCTTGCTTCAGCCAGACTTTCTACAAATCATTTGTGGTAAGATCTTTATCAGGTTATGTGTGTGAAGATTACAGCTGTACAAATAAACCTATGCACAAAGTAAGCATCTGAAATAGCATCTTTTCCTGAAAAGTGGAATCTTTTTCTTTTAATTTAGATCCAGGATATAATTGTTCAGACTCAAGAAGGCCGGGAAACCCGTTCAGCAAAGGATGCATTGTTACTTTGGTGTCAAATGAAAACTGCAGGGTATGATATAGCTATTTTATCTCATTAAACACATTGTGACTTGTTGGTGAAACCTATGGTATTAGTTAAGCAAATATTAAATACTAAGCAAATCTACACAGACTCTGTGAAAATTAACCAGGTTTCCATTCAGTTCATATCAATGATAGTGTGAAACCATTACAGTTCATACAGTGATAGTATGAAACCATTTAACTATCAGAATAAATCACAAGGACAGACCTGTTTAGGGCAAGGACAGAAAGCTGTGCTAAAATGTTTCCTGTACAGAATCCAAATACTGTGTTTTCCTTATGTCTCTTTTTGGAGCCTTGTTTGATTTGTGATGTTTTTAAGGAAATTGTTTTTTTACTTTTTGTTTGAGATAGGCTGAAAATATTTAAATACTCTGCCAATATTACAGTCTTGATGGAAGTGTTAGTGGTAGAGAGGAGGAGAGCAAAGAATCAAGATAGGATGTATTCTCCTATTCATCAAGAAGTCACTGGGCATGCTGACATCCTGTTTCAGGTGGCATGGATGGAATGTGCTGTGTGAAATGTGATAATACATGTAGAACTCAAAATAATGCTTAGCAGAGTTTTAAAAAATTACAGCAGGAGAGTCTAAAAAACAATCCAACTCCAATATGACCTTCTTCATACAGATTCAGCTAAAAATCTGAAAATGAGACTTGACTGCTAGAGCAATCCTTTTGATCATCATTTGGGAGGAGGGGGTTTACTTTTTTTAAAAAAATATTATTCTGTGTTTAGCCTTCTCCAACCTGATGTTTATTTATTTATTTATTTTGTTGGATTTCTCCCCCACCCATCTCCTCCACAATAGGGGGCTCTGGGCGACTTACAAAAAACATTTAAACTATAAATATATATAAAATACATAGTACATCCAGAATTAAGAACAATACTAAAA